GTCGCCCTGGCGCCCCTGATCGCCAACTGGCTTGCTTCCGAAAGACGTTTGGTATAAAATTGAAAGCAGTGACTTGGACTGACCGCCAACTGCAAGCACCCCCTTATCAAAAGGTCCCCTGCAATTGACACAGCGTGCTGGATTGTGTCATTATCCAACAGCTTCTCTGCGATAGTGCGATGAGTCCTTGCCCTTTTTTCGACAGGAGGAACGAGCGGGACCGGCACTTGTCTTGAAGATAACTGCTCACGAGACGGCGCCCTTCGTCGTCGGATGGATCAACGCCGCCAGGTAGCACGCAAGGAATCTGTTGGTACAACAGTACTGAGCTGACAAACAGTGGTACGCGCGCCCGTCTTTTCTGAGGACGTAACGGGCGTCGCCCACGTCAAGCAGCGCTGTGATTGCCTTGTCGAACCAGGCACCCCCATTCACGCCCTGCATGCCGACCGAGCATCGTGGCTACGACGGCGAAGCCTGTAGCTGAGAGCGCATGTCCTGGACGGCGCCGCACAAACGCCGGCCGCTTTCGGGGGCGAGCTGAGTAGAGAATGGGCGCGGCAGGACGTCGCGGGCGCGGTCGAATTGCCAGCGGTGCCAAACAAGCCTGGAGAGCTTCTGAGATTGAATGGCCCAATCCGGAGGTGGGTGGGAACGAGCCACACGTTCGCGAAGCCGCCCGCACCGAGGACAAAAACACTCACAGGGCATAGAGGGCACCGCCAAACACCCGAGCTGCCGAACGCCTCGTCCGTCATGATAACCGCTGCCCGCTCCCACTCAAGGTGCTCGGCCTCGATCATCGCGCGCAGGTCGGACGGCCATTCGCTTTGCGCGTCGGCAGGAAATGTAGACTTCACGCCGCACAGCACATCGAACTCCCCACCGCCAAAAGAACCATCCGACCCGCTCAGCGTTTTAGTAGAAGACGGCGACGCGCCAATCTCTGAAGCAACGAATAAAGTCTGCGTTCCAGCAGCAGCAGCCGCTAGAATCTCGTCGACCTCGGGGATTGACATGAGCTCTGCCGTGCCGCTGCGGAAGCAGACGACCGCGCACTCGCCGACGCGCAGCGCGCGCGCGCGGCCGCCGCCGTCGCCAACAACGAAGAGGCCGCCGCTGCTCAAGCACGAAGGCGGACAGCTCCCCACTTGGTAGCCGAAGGGGCGAAGCATGTTGCAGCCGTCCTGGAGATCGAATGCGGGCGCGCCTTCATGCGAGAGGGGCGAACGCAGCGCCGCGCGCGTTCCCGCGAGATTCAGGAACGAACGCAACAGCCTCGTCGCCGCCGCAAGCTCGACGGCGCGGCGGCATTAGAGCCCTGTCCTGGGCGACCCAGAGCGGCCCGCTCCGCAAAATGTCAACTGCAAACGCAAGAACCTTGAGAAGCTATAGCAAGACAGATGCCCACATGGCGAGCGTCGTCTCGGTTGCGGGCGCAGCGGGCGGCGTCCGCCACAGCCGCCGCGAACTCCTGTTCCACGGGAATCCCACGTTTCCTGCGGTCGTTGCCGACACGGGCCCGCTTGGAGGACTGATCCCCCAAAGCATCGCAATCGGGGACACCGCTGGCGAATGTTCCCCTTCGGGCACGCACGATTGCATTATAAAGTTCGATATCAGAATCGAACGGCCCGCCCCCTTCAGCGCACATGGGCGGCCGCCCCGCTGGACGTCGTCATCCTCGGGGGTGGGCGGCCTGAGTTCGAAGATGCGCGCGCCTGGCGCCTTTCTAATCTAGGCCCAGAATGCGAAAGTGTCCACGCTTAAAACCTTGCCCCACAGGGCGTCCATCAGCCGCGTGCCGAGGTCGTCGCACAGGCCATTGAAATGTGCGATTACGAAAACAATGATTGCTCAAAGCGGCCCATAGACTTCATTAGCAAGACACCCAAAAAGCACCCCCAAATCGCTCCCTCCTTAATTTTCAGAAACACATGCTTTCGAAAAGTCTTCAACGTGGTATTGACATCTACATTTACAACAACGATGCTCTGCACCAAGCGACCCAGGGACCTCATGTTCGCGTGCTCCCCCCACCACCACCACCACCACCACCACCACCACCACCCACACACACACACACACACACACACACACACACACACACACATCACATCACACACACACACACACACACACACACACACACCACCACCACCACCACCACCACCACCACCACCACCACCACCACCACCACCACCACCACCACCACCACCACCACCACCACCACCACCCCACCCCACCACCCCACCACCACCACCCCACCCCACCCCACCCACCCCACCCCCCCCCCCCCCACCGCCCGCCCCACCCCCACCCCCCACCCCCCACCCCACCCCCCCACCCCAAAAAAAGTAACAAAGGACCCAACCATCTGCAGATGTGCGTACCGCAAGTGTGAGTATCTTCTTCGGTGGCGATCCCTAAGGGGCCCCGAATCGCACGAGGGCTGTGCTGGGGCCTTCGGTGGAGCCCCCCGTGGGGCCACGAAACGTGCAAGGGGTGTGCCGACAGTGGTGCTGTCGGCGCATTGGAACCCAGCCACTGGGGCATTCGGTGGAGCTCCCTGTGGGGCCACGAAACATGTGAGGGGTCTGCCGAAATGGGCGCGGTGGGCGCATGCGAACGCAGCCACTGGAGCGTTCGGTGACGCACCCTGTGGGGCCACGAAACGTGTGAGGGATTTGCCGAAATGGGTGCGGCGGGCGCATGCGAACGCAGCCACTAGTGCATTCGGTGGAGCTCCCTGTGGGGCCACGAAACGTGTGAGGAGCGTGCCGAAATGTGCGCGGTGGGCGCATGTGAACGCAGCCACTGGGGCCTTCGGTTGGGCTCCCTGTGGGGCCACGAAACGTGTAAGGGATTTGCCGAAATTGGTGCAGTGGGCGCATGCGAACGCAGCCACTGGGGCCTTCGGGGCTCCCTGTGGGGCCGCGAAACGTGTGAGGGGTGTGCCGAAATGGGTGCGGTGGGCGCATGCGAACGCAGCCACTGGGGCATCCGGTGGAACTCCCTGTGGGGCCACGACACGTGTGGGCTGTGCCCAAATGGGTGCGGTGGGCGCATGCGAACGCAGCCATTGGGGCATTCGGTGGAGCTCCCTGTGGGGCCACGGAACGTGTGAGGGGTGTGCCGAACTGGGTGCATTGGGCGCATGCGAACGCAGCCACCGGGGCCTTCGGAGGGGCTCCCTGTGGGGCCACGAAACGTGGGAGGGGTGTGCCGACATGAGTGCGGCGGGGGCATGCGATCGCAGCCACTGGGGCCTTCTGTGGAGTTCCGTGTGGGGCCACGAAACGTGTGAGGGGTGTGCCGACATGGGTGCGGTGGGCGCATGCGAACGCAGCCACCGGGGCCTTCTGTGGAGTTCCCTGTGGGGCCACGAAACATGTGAGGGGTATGCCGACATGGGCACGGTGGGCACATGCGAACGCAGCCACTGGGGCCTTCGGTGGAGCTCCCTGTGAAGCCACGAAACGTGACAGGAGTGTGCCGAATTGATGATGCTGGTGATGGTGATGATGACGTTGATGATGGTGACGGTGATGCTGAGGAAGGACGCGGGGGCTGTTCAAAACGAGGACCCAACACCACAAGATGGTTGGGAATGACAAAAAGTACAAATATTTTCCCCCTTTGTCACACCCCCAAGAAGCCCTTGTGGGCAGCGGTGAGCGCTTGCAGTCGCGAAACCTGCACGCTCCCTCCCTGTCTCTCTCTCTCTCTCTCTCTTTCTCTCTCTCTCTCTCTCTCTTTTTCTTTCTCTTCCTCTGGTTATCTCTCTCTCTCTCTCTCTTTTTCTCTCTCTCCACCCGCTGACAAAAGGATTCCTTGTGTTGCGAACTTCAGGAGGATTTCTTTTGTGGGGGGGTTACAACGTGTTTCCTTTTGTGGCGGGTTCCACAAGAATTCCTTGTGTGGCGGAGTACGCATTGATTTCTTTTTGTGGCGGATAGCACATTGATTCGTTTTGTGGCGGATTACAAAGTGATTCCTTTCGTGACGGGTTAGAAAAAATGTTTTTTTTGTTGCGAATTGCAAACTGCTTTCTTTTGTAGCGGATTACGGAGTGATTCCTTCTGTGGCGGATTACAAAAGGAATCCCTTGTGTGAAACATAGCGTGTTCGAGCTCTGGATGCTGAAGACGCTGTGTTTTCATAGCTTGTTGAGCATTCGGCACCAAAAAACTGCACAACAAAAAAAAACATCATGTTTTACAGTTTTCAGTGGTTCCCCAACTGTTTGTTTTTCTCCCATTGGTTTCCTTCTACATACCCCCACGAAGGGATTCCTTTTGTAATCCGCCACAAGAGGAATCAATATGTAATCCACCACAAAAGGGTTCTTTTTGTAATCCGCAACAAAAGGAATCAATGTGTAATCCACCACAATTGGATTCCTTTTTGTAGTCCGCCACAAAAGGAATCAATTGTAATCCGCCACAAAAGGAGTAGGAGTCAATTTGTAATCCGCCACAACCGCCACAAAAAGGAATCAATGTGTAATCCGACACACCAGGAATCCATTTGCAATCGCCGCAAAAGAAATCTATGTTTTTATGATGCCACAAAAGGACTCGATGTGTAATCCGCTACACATGAAGAGCCCCTTTCTCAACTAACTGCCACAAAATTCACATCGCTGTAACGCTCCATCCAAAGGATGACGAAAACAACAATCAACCAGAAAACAAGTACAGAAGAAGTAAAAGGCCAAAAACCGAGGTGGCACACACATTCACACACACACACACACACACACACACTTTTTGATCTGCGGGGCGAGAGCGAACCTCTTCCGCTAAAAGCTAGGCGGGCGACGCACAGCTTTAATTAGGGAGAGAGGCGGTACACACAGACACACACACACACACACACACGGTTTGGTCAACCTTACGGGAACGGGGGGAGGGCAGCGCCCGCGCGGAAGGCACGAGCAATAAATAGCAGCTGGCTTCACCGCTGCTGGGCAGACCGCGGGAGGGGAGGGTGGAGGCCGCCGCCATCGGGCTCGGCGCTGGGATCGGCGCCCCAGGCACGAAGGGGAGGCGGCGGCGGCCTTCACCGCTCATCGGCGCGGCACGCCCCATCTGACGCATCGCGCCACAGGGGGAGTTCGGCGCGCCTACTCCACTGCTTTCTCCACCCGCACCGGCCCGAACTGCATCCCTCCCGCGGCGTGCAGCATGGAATGAGAAGACCGTTGGCCTCGCTGCATGCAGCTGCATAGGGCTGGGTCTTTCGCCAGGACACCCTGGGCGCAGGGAGCCCCGGCTAGCAGACGCTGTACGGGGGGCACGACTGGAGAGACAACAGCAACCACCGTGCGCGCACCGGGGGGGGCAGCAGAGTATGTCATGCCTTCCCCTTCAGGTCATCGCGTATGCTTCGATTCGCTGGTCCGCACACATACCTGGATGCATTCCCAATTTTTTATGTCATGTCCGATCGCCGCTGCGAAGGTCGCAACTCTTGGAGAAACACAGGGCGATCATGCTCGGCGGTGAAAAACGCCGAGTGGGGTCTGGAAAGGTGACGGACTGCGAGCGGCGGTGGGTGGCATTGATCTGGAGTTGCGGGGTATGAGAATGATGTGAGATTCGCGTGCCCACACCGGCCCATCCAGAAACTATTTTCAGGCTACATGTCGCAGGATGGGAGGTGGCAGCGCATTGTTGAAATCAATCGGGGGGCACCAGTGAAAACGACATTGCGATCAGACGGAAATGCCCCCGACGGTTCCCACCTCTGGGACTTCGTCAAAGAATGCTGAACACACTGAGGACACGTTGGGGGAATTGCCGCAGCCACCAGTGTCTCGTCAAAAGTCTCTTGGGGATTAACTGGGAGCCTTTCGGCCACGTTGCACATTTTGGAGCAGCTCTTAGGGGGGGGGGCCCAAGGTTTCATGGGCCACCCCGGAACCGCGAGAAAAAGAAAAAGAACACAAAATCATCGGAAAAAAACACATTGCTCATTGACTCGAACTTCTCGCGGGCATCCTTGGATGGTTCGGGAGCCTCGACCGGGGCCATTGAATTGCCTCGCGGAAATCCACACAGCATCTTGGACCCCCCTTCCCCTCCCCTCCACTCCTCCCCCTCTCCTTTTGTCCGGGTTTCAAGTTTACGTGGTCAGTCACGGAGCTTGGCCTCCGCTCGCGAAATTTGCATCTCCAGTGCCGTTAATTTGTTGCCGGGAAAGAGGCCCCTGGAGGGCACGGCGGAGTCTGCAGTCACGAAATTGTCCAACTGCATCGCGTCGTAACAAAAAAATGCCTCGCGGAAACATGTCCGGGCCATCTTGGCCGACTTCAGCCATGTTGCAAGCAATCCACGGCTGCGTGAATCCAAAATAGGGCCACGCGCGGTCACGTTCGAACGCCGCGCAATCAGGGGGTCGGGACTTCCCTAGAGGAAGCGGGCTGGGAGGAGCTTGCGCCCCAGGCCACCCACGTTCCGAGAACGGATGTCTTCGCGCGAAGTTGATGCGAGGCCTTCGTGTGCTGTGCCGCGCCTGGCTATGCAGCGCCACGCTGTGCCATGGTAGGCCACGCAGGCTATTCGCCCCGTTTTTTGCGCAGGCTGAGGAGCGCATCTCCCGCCAGGCAAGCACCGGGGAGGACCTGAGACAGGTCGGCCGACGCAATGGCTGGCCGCTGGCGGCTGGCTGCTGGAGTCTCCAGCGGCCAGCTGTCCGCGCCGCACCCTTCTCAGAAGAGCGCGACGCGGCGGAAGGAGGGCAAGTGCATTGCGTGCGCTTTACTGGCTGCGAGCTTTCGCAAGTGGCCTGCAAGTCGAACGTCAGCAAACTCCACCGCGGAAAGCTTTGGGACCCGTCTCGCCATTTCACCATCTACTGTGACGTGCGCGAGTGGACGCTGCTCTTCGACAGCGGCGGTGGACGCCAGCAAACAGAGCTTTGGCGAAGCGGCCAGAGGGTGCAGAAAGTTTTGAGGGTCCTGAGCACGCGCTGCAGCCCAGAGCCCCCAGCCACCCCATTGCCGACGCCGCCGTTGGTGCCCTTGGGGAACCAGGTGAACGACATGCGTCGCGCCTTCTTGCCGAACGAAGGTTCACTGGGCGCGCCCGCGCAGGATCTGACACTCTTTCCACCACAGCCCAAAAACGGCTTTATCCTTATCTTCTTGTTCTCTGCCGTCGCCGCCATCGCAGATTGACCTCGGGCTTCAGAGCGATACGTATCACACTTACTAATATTTTTTCCAGCTGAGTCGGGGCGGGCCGTGTTTTTCGCCACCGCCTTACTATTCCTACCTTTCGCGCCCCCTGCCCCAATGCGGCACCCGACGGCCACCACGAGTGTGGCGAGAGAATCCTGTGCCAGCAGCACGACGACCATTAGCGGCACGACAACGAAGGCCAGCTGACCCAGAGGTACGACTGCTACGAAGGCCACCACGAGTTCGACGAGCGTCTGGCATCAGCGCCACGGCGCCCCTGAGCGCCGCGTCCACGACGAGCAGCAGCCTCAGGGGTACGACGGCCACCACCAGGTCGACGAGCGGCTCCAGCACCCTACGCACGACGACGCTGAATGGCGCGACCAGGACACGACAGCCTCCACGTGCTCGACGAGCGGCTCCATTGCCAGCGGCGCGACGCCACTGAGCGGCACGGGCACGCCGGCCAGCAGCTCCTGGGATACAACGGCCGCCACGTGTTCGAAGAGCGGCTCGGGCACCCTTGGAGCGACGACGCTGCGAGGAGGCGGGGCCTGACAGCACATTCACTTACGCGCGGCGCGACGGAGACGAGCAGCACGACGATGAATTGCGCGACGACGCCCGGACAGAGACCAGCAGCACGACGGCGACGAACAGCACTGGCTTCAATCAGCAAAGCAGCCACTGGCAGCACGAAAATGAGCAGCACGCCGATGAGCGGATCCGCAGCACGAGCATGAGCAGAACGACGTTTGTGAGCACGATCGCCACCAGCAATGCAACGATGAGCACGCTCCATGTTTGGCTCCCGCAGCACAGCGTTAGACGGCTCGGCAGCGACTAGCATCCTCGACCCTGAAATCCACATCCGCTCGTGCGTAGCACGACGGACACCAGCCGCGCGACACTCAGCAGTGCGTCGGGTTCCCGCTGTAGGGCGCTGGACAACGCGAAGGAGCACAGCAGCCTCGGCTCTGACATCTGCCAGTCCGCCGCCACACTCAGGTCCCAGAATCACGAGAGTGCGCAGCAAGACGGGCCCCCGCGGCACGTCGGTAAACAGCACGACGGCGTGCAGAACCCTCGAATTCGACATTGACTCATACGCAATATGACGCAATACAGGAGCACGATATTCAGCAGGTTGACGGATTCTTGCAGTACGCCTTTGGATGGTACGATGGAGCGCAACACCCTCGATTCCAGCATCTATTCCGGCGCAGCACCCCAGAAAACAGCAGTGCAACGTTGCGCCGCACGACGGGCTCGTGTGGCGCGGCGAAAAACAGTCCGCCAGAGTGCAACACCTTCGGTTCTGATATCCTTTCGTGTGCAACACGACGGATACCAGCAATACGACCCTCAACGCCACCTCAGGGACTCCGAGACCAGCATCACGACGGAACATACCAGCCTCACTTCGACACACGAGTGCGACGAGCAGTTTGACGAGCACGACGTCGTTTCGCTACACTTGGCCCGAAGAGCAGTCCGACGGACACCAGCATCACGACGTTTAGCAGCACGTTCGGTCCAAGCTTTCCGGAGCTGAACAGCACGACGGAGGGCGACTCTGGCATCCATTCGTGTGTAGAGCGATGGATACCCGTAGCACGAGACTATGCAAGACAGGTTCCCAGAATACGATACCACCAGCACGTCGGAAAGCAGCACCCTCGCCTCCGAAATCTGTTTCGGTTCACATGTCGGGCACCAGCAACACAGTGCGGACGATACGACATTGAGCAGAGCGACCTGCTCTAGCAGTACGACGACGTGTTGCGAAACGACTGACACAGCAGCACGACGGTGAGCAACACGACGACGAGCAGATCTGTGCAGGATAACGGCCCTGGCATCTATGGTCATATTTGACCATTGGGCGCTAACTCTGATGCGATTTTCGCCACATTGGTTTCTGGGAGGCGCTACCCACACAGTCATGCCACAGCGAACCGTAACGGTCTGGACCGTTACGGACCAATGAATGACGGTGACGGATCGCAGGACGGACCCCAGCAGCACGACGACGGGAAACAGCAGCACGTCGACGAGGTTGGCAAGCAGGACGACAACGTGGATTGTTCTGACCACTTGCGCCAGCAGTTCTTTCAGCCACCCGCCTGGGCGCCAGCTCCTCCTCCTCCTCCTCCTGCTTCTTCTTCTCCTCCTCCATTCCTGTTCCTTATGAATAATTTCTCCCTGTCGCACCCCGAGGCCAGTTTTTAGGGCGGGCCTGGCGTTTCGCCTGAGACTTCCTCACCACTTATGACCCCGAAGCTAAAAAAATGGCAACAGCTTCACAGATGGAGAGCAGGTGATTTTGAAAATGTGGCTCTCGCATTAGCGCCGCGCATATTCGTTGTAGAAATTTGCAAGAGCTTAACGGATTGAGGGCGGGTGGTTTTCAAAATGTGGTTATCGCCTTAGCGCCGCGCAAATTCGCTCGTAAAAAATGCAAGAGCTTCACGGATTGAGGGCGGGTGGTTTTCAAAATGGGGTCTCGCCGTAGCGCCGCGCGCATTGGTTTTATCAGTTGGTAAGAGTTTCACAGACTGATGGCGGGTGGTTTTCATAATGTCGCTCTCGCTTCAGCAACGCGCACATTCGTTTTTCAAAGTTCCAGGGGTTTCACGGATTCCCATGATCAGCGTGCCAGAAATGGTGATTTAGAAGGGTTCAGGATTATGAGGGTGAAGCAGTTACGTTGATTCGTTGTGCTGAAGTCCCAGGAATGGCGTTTCGGCACGATTCAGGATCGCCAAGACGCAACAGTCAGGTTGATCCGTGACGTTGGAATCGCGAGGACAATGTTTTGGCATGCTTCAGGGTCTTCAAACGGTTGTCTTCCACCGATGTTGTTCCCTCAGTGGAAGTGAACCGTTGTAGGGGCCTGTGAAGAAGGACCTTGGAGGGAGGGTTAATTACAGCATCGTTGATGACTCTTGGGTTTGCACTGGTCCTCCTCCTCCTCCTCCTCCTCCTTCTGTTCGCCCACTCCAGCCGCCTGGGCGCCAGCTCCTGTGAACCTCCCGACGGAGGGGGTTGGCGTCAGCCGCGGCAGTCCCCATGGGCACGAGCCACCTGCCAACGGCCGGACGTCCCGCAGGTCCCTTACTCGTCGTTGTTTCTGCGCCCCGCGGCCGCGCATCACCGCGGGCCCCAGACGTGCCGCTGCCGAACGCCGCGACGAGCCCACGCCCGGTGAGACGTGCCATGGGAGCGGCGCGGCGCGAGCAGCATCACGGCGGCCAGCAGGGCGACGCCCGGCAGCGCAGCGGGGAGCAGCAGCAGGACCCCGCCGCCCAAAAGTGAGAGGTGCAGTGTGGCGAGCAGCGCGGCCTTTGAGCAGCGCGACGGCGACCAGCAGCACGACCACCGGCAGCTCAGTGGGGAGCAACAGCAAGCACCACCAGCATCCATGAGTTGGACGCGCAGATCGGTGACCTGAGGTGGCCACTCCTCCCCCCTTCTTCCTCCCTCGATTACTCATCTTGCCTCCCTCGCCTCCTTCCTCCGTGGAATCATGGTCTGGTCATGCTGGTTTCTGGCGACGCTGCAAGGACAGCTACGCGGGCGGCGCGTCCGGCCTGTGTCTCATATCTTGCACGTTGCTTCAACCATTGTGCGAGCGGGTTGCTCAATGGAATCGTGGTAGCACTTTGCTGGTGCCAGGAAAGTTGGCATGGACAGCGTTGCTAGGCTTGGACGCTCAACCAGAGCGTGCAGTTGACCTCCCTGCGTTTCCTCGCATCCCTCCTCCCGCACTTTGGGCACAGCGTAGGTCCTTACGCGCACGTTTTTTGTTCCGCCCGATAGAGCAAGGGCTGGGACAGGATGCCCATTTCTCCCCTTGCCATTTTTTCCTTGTGCCCTCGCCTCCCAGCTGGCTAGCCCTGCTGATGCTGGCCTGCCTGCTTTCTGTCTCCTCTGCCTGTCTCGGCCTCGCTCCCTCTCGCAGTGAGGCAGCTCGAAGCTCAGCAGACCACGCTGGTAAAGTATCATCCTGTCCCAGAATGCTCAGTGCGTATACGCTTTCTTCCCCCTTCCTTTCCTCCTTCCCCCCTTTTCCTCATTCCCCCCTTTCCTCCTCCCTGCCCGATCGCAACCACGAATTGCATGTCGAATTCATCAACCCGCGCTGCCTCCCGGTCACGGGGGCAACGTCCACCGCCTCGGGACCATCAGGAGCGGTTTGGTCTCGAGGCTCCCCGTTCCCCTGCACCCCCCATGTGCGGCCCTACATGCATTTTAGATTACGATTTGCTCGCAGTTGTTTGCCCTGCCCCTTGCCTTTGTCTCCTCCTCTCCCTCGTTCCCCTGCGTTGCACTGGCAACCGTTGCACTTGGTGCTCACCCATGTGGCTCGGGCCCTCTATCCTAACGGGCGGCCCTACTCGGAGTGCCAGCTCTTGGCTCGCGAAGTGTTTCTGTGCGGGCACCACCTCCGCCGCTGGTCGTGATGTGTGGTTTACGCACGCGTGAGATGTTCTTTCCTGTGGACGTTCGTCCAGGAATCTCTCCCCTCTCTCGGTCCCTTGCGCCTCCTCTTCCCCCTCCCTCTTCCTTGGAGTCTTGGTGTCAGCTTGTTGGTCGCAGTGCCTGAGTTTGTCATTGAGTATTTATTAATTCGATGCGACTTAGTTTATACCCGACTTGCAGTGTGGATCGAGCGATTGGGATAGACCTGGTTTCGGTGTAAATGCGATGCTACGCTAGAGGCGCGCCGAGGCCATGCAGCGCTGCGCTATGATACGCTGTTGGATGTTGCTCGATGCTGCTACGCCGTGGTATGCTGGGCGGCGGTATGCCATGCAAACATATGGCGCCACGGTTTGCTTCGCATGGTACCCCGTTGTGGCGCACCCACTTGCATGTCGTTGCACGTGCATGCTTCCGACAAGGAGTTTGTATCCTCGAATGCAGACTGGGTTTCTTGACGCTTGCCATACGGATGTTTGCTTGGCATTGCCGAGACATGTTTGTGAATGTGTTTGATGATGTCCATCGTGCGTCCTAGTATTTTGAGGACATTGGCGTATAGCACTACACCCAATGTCCGATACCTGGCTGTCGAGGTATAAGCCGTTGTATGTGACGGTACCAAGTGCAACGTACGAGTGGTAACCAACATCAACTCAAAGTATCTGCAGGTTGGAAGTTCTCCCTGAATGCACGGTGGAATCGCAGCTAAGTAATGCCACTGTACATATATACATACATATGGTATAGACATATACATCGAATTTTTTATGTATAAATATGTAAATATACATATATGTAACGTATCGCCTGACGCTTCAAATAAACCCACCAGCGCATCCAGGAATGAATCCCAGGCGAGTTGCCCTAATTAAGAAGAGCACGCAGTAAAAGAATGGGCTGGAGAAGCCGTCGTACCCCAAGAGTGGAGGATGGAGGAGGAATCGGACTAGGAGGGGGGACAGAGGGGAGAATGAAGGGAGGAGGAGGAAGAGGAACAGGCATATAAGGAAATGGAGGAAGAGGAGGAAGAGGAGGGGGAGAGGAGCAGAAAGGCCAGAGCTTCCTGGAGTTTCTTCAGATATCTCTTGAGAGTCTCTTGGGGTCCTCTTGGGGCGTATTGGAGGCCTCTTGGTGATCCTTGGGAACTCTTGGAGCGTCTTGGGTGCTTCGGGGTAGCCTGTTGGACTCGGGCGTCTCTTAGAAGCCTCTGTGGGGCCTCTTGGGGGGCTTCATGGGGCCTCCTGGGCCTCTTGGATCACTCGTGGGAGCTTCGGGGGCCATCCCAAGGCCATTTTGATTAGAGTCCGCGCCAGGAAGCCAGAAATGTCCACAAACCATGGGAAACCCAAAGAGTTGAGCATTCTCTGTACGTTCCAACAGGTTGCGAAACCGCCCGTCCAGGTCCAGGAGAGGAGGCGCTGGCGAGGTACACCCCTCCCCGGGGAAGGCTGGCAAAGAAAACGTCCTACAACATGACGAACGCCAAGGCCGAATCTATATATATATATATATATATACACACACGCATATATACATAGACACATAAACATATGTATACTTATACTTACATTGATACACATATGTACACACATGTATAATTATATACATGCAGATATGCATATACACATCTATACACGATTTATATAGATATATATACATATAATATAATATATATATATATATATATAATATATATATATATATATATATATATCGAAATATATCGAAGTAGGGCCCCGGGGCGGTGCCTGTCATCTCCATGGGGGGTGCAGGGCGCCCCCGGGAGCGTCCGAAGCGTTCCGGAGGGCCCCTGGGACCGCCAGGAACAGTTCGAGACCGCCCAAGACGGCCCGCGAGCGCTCCAAGACGCGCATAGATAGCCTCAAGAATGGCCAGGAAGGCCCGAAGACGTTCCAAGAGAGCTCCATGAGGCCCCGAAGGCATCCCAAGGGGCCTCCCAAGAGAGCCCCGACAAGCCAACATCGTTGATTTGTATCGTTTTTTCGAGGTTTTTGGCCTCCTCGCTTTTTCTGGGTTCCGACGCTCCAAGGCCGTCCAAGAGTCTCCCAAAACCGCTCCAAGACGGCCTTAGAGGCCCCCAAGACCGCCCCAAGACGGCCCAAGAGACCCCAAAAATCGTCCCAAGACGGCCCAGGAGAGCCCCAAGATGGCTCAGGAGCCGCCCAAGATGGTTCCAGGAGTGCCCCGACAGGGCTTCAAGACTGCCTAAGCGAGCCCAGCGGTCCCCAAGAGGGCCCCGCGAGGCCCCAAGAGGCCCCAAAGAGGCCCCCAAGAGCCTCCCCGAAGGCCCCCAGAGGCCCCCATGCCCCGACAGGGCTTCAAGACTGCCTAAGCGAGCCCAGCGGTCCCCAAGAGGGCCCCGCGAGGCCCCAAGAGGCCCCAAAGAGGCCCCCAAGAGCCTCCCCGAAGGCCCCCAGAGGCCCCCAAGATGCCCAAAAATGGCCCTGAGCGCGCCCCAAGACGCCTCCAGGAGAGCCCCACAGGCCTCCGAGAGGCCCCAAAGAGGCCCACTGGAGGCCCTCAGGAGGTCGTCCCCATCATGTTCCCGGAAGGCGGTCCGGGAACATGATTCCGCGCCTTGGAGGAGTATTCTGCGCCTTCCGAGGCGCCTTGGACGACGTACGATTCATATTCTTGAACGCTTTCCGGGAACATGATTTCTCACCGTTTCGGAACGCTTTCCTACTGCTGCGGTGCTCTGGGGGGAAGGGACGGGGGTCCGGGAACATGATCGGGAGGTTAGGGAACGAGGGTTTGGAGAGGAGCAGTAGGACAGACGGACGGGGCCCGGGGGCGGGGGTGGGGTGGTGCCACCGGTTGGCATGGCCGCCCCGGGCGTCCTGTGGGGTCCACGAACCCGCCCAAGACGGCCCATGAGGCCCCAAAGACAGCCCAAGAGACCCACAAGACAGCCTCAGCGAGGCCCAAGAGGGCCCCAAGACGCTCAAGAGCGCCCCAACAGGGCCCGAGATGGCTTGAAGATGGCCGAAGAGGGCCCCAAGAGGGTCTTCAAGAGGCAAACACCGGCCTATTTCCATTCGTAAAGCATACATTTTCAGCATACTCGTTTGCTTGGTCCTCACAGTGCCCCAGACGCCCCCGAGCCCCAAGACAGCCCAAGAGAAACCCAAGAGGGCCCACGACGGCCCAAACGGGTCGTCCTGTGAGGCTCACGGAACCCCCCCAAGACGGCCCAAGAGGCCCCAAAGACGGCCCAGGAGGCCCCCAAGACGGCCTCAGGAAGGCCCAAGAGGGCCTCTTTCGAAATCATGTTCCCGGAAGCCTCTCCGGGAACATGATTTCTGGGTTCCTAGGACGCCCAAGAGGGCCCCAGGACGGCCCCAAAAGGGCCCTAAAAGGACCTTCAAAAAGGCCCCGATGGCCACAGTTCGTTGATTTGCGTGAGATGTTGTTGGATTTCTTCCGCGCAGAGGAGACGGAGAGGGCGAAGGAGGAGGAGGAGGAGGAGGAGGAAGAGGAGAACCAGGAGGAGGCAGGGAGGAGGAGTGGAGGGGAGGAGGGGGGGAGAGAGGAGGCGGCTCGAGGGCGATCGACGATCGGCGACGACGACCGGCGACAGTGATTGCCGGCGACGGTGATTGCCGACGACGACGACGACGACGACGACGACGACGACGACGACGACGACGACGATCGACGACGGTCGACGACCGACGACGACGACGATCGAAGACGATGACAATAGTCGACGCCGCCGATCGACGATCGACGGCGACGGCGGCGACGCTGCCCGCGTGACAGCCCAAGAGGCATACAAGACAGCCTCATCGAGGCCCCAGAGGGCCCCAAGACGTCCAAGAGCGCCCCAAGAGGGCCCGAGATGACTTGAAGATGGCCGAGGGGGCCCAAAGAGGGCCTTCAAGAGGCAGAACTTTACCCATCCCTCTTGTAAAACGTACAATTTCAGCATACTCGCTTGCTTCGTCCTCAGAGTGGCCCCCGAGGAGCCCCAAGACAGCCCAAGACGGCCCAAAAGGCCCCAAAGCCAGCCCAGGAGGCCCCCAAGACGGCCTTAGGGAAGCCCAAGAGGGCCTCGTTCGAAATCATGTTCCCAGAAGCTTCTCCGGGAACATGATTTCCGGGTTCCCAGGACGCCCAAGAGGGCACCAGGACGGCCCCAACAGGGCCTAAGATGACATTCAAAAATTCCCAGAGGGCCACAGTTCGCTGATTTTCGCGCAATGTTGTTGAATCTCTTCCGCGCGGAGGAGACGGAGAGGGCGAAGGAGGAGGAGGAGGAGAAGGAGGGGGAGGAGGAAGAGGAAGAGGAGAAGGACGAGGCGGGGAGGAGGAGTGGAGGGGAGGAGGGGGGGAGAGAGGAGGAGGAGGCTCGAGGGCGATCGACGATCGGAGACGACGACCGGCGATGGTGATTCGGACGACGACGACACGACGACGACGGTGATTCATCGACGACGACGACGACGACCACGACGACGACCGATGACGATCGACGACGATGACAACAGTCGACGCCGCCGATCGATGATCGACGGCGACGACGACGACGACGGCCACGCCGACGGCGGCGACGCTGTCCGACAGCCTCCAAGGGGGCCCCAAGACGTCCAAGAGCGCCTCAAGAGGGCCCGAGATGGTTTGAAGCTGGCCGAAGAGGGCCTTCAAGAGGCAAAAAATCTGCCCATTCCCGTTGTACAACGTACGTTTTCGGCATATTTGCTTGCTTGGTCCTCATAGTGCCCCAGACGCCCCCGAGCCCCAAGACAGCCCAAGAGAGACCCAAGAGGGCCCAAGACGGCCCAAAACGGTCGTCCTGCGAGGCTCACGGAACCCCCAAGACGGCCCAAGAGGCCCCAAAGTTGGCCCAGGAGGCTCCCAACACGGCCTCAGGGAGGCCCAAGAGGGCCTCTTTCGAAATCATGTTCCCAGAAGCCTCTCCGGGAACATGATTTCCTGGTTCCCACGACGCCCAAGAGGGCCCTAAGACGGCCCCAAAAGGCCCTAAATGGACGTTCAAAAGGCCCAGAGGGCCATAGTTCGTTGATTTGCGCGAAATGTTGTTGGATTTCTTCCGCGCAGAGGAGACGGAGAGGGCGAAGGAGGAGGAGGAGGAGGAGGAGGAGGAGGAGGAAAAGGAAAAGGAGGAGGAGGCGGGGAGGAGGAGTGGAGGGGAGGAGGGGGGGAGAGAGGAGGAGGCTCGAGGGCGATCGACGATCGGCGACGACGACCGGCGACGGTGATTGACGACGACGACGACGACGACGACGACGACGACGACGACGACGACCGACGACGACGACGACGACGACGACGGTCGACGACCGACGACGACGACGATAGACGACGATGACAACAGTCGACGTCGCCGATCGACGATCGACGGCGACGACGACGACGGCCATGCCGACGGCGGCGACGCTGTCCGCGTGCGCAGAGCCACCCTGGACCCAGTCTTTTCTGCATCGTTC